AACAGGAGCAGATCAGATGGAGATACATTTAGAGGGGAGGTGTTGAGATGGTTTGGACATGAGATCAGGGTGAGATAGAAGATTCCAGAGAAGATCCCCAAACTGTACAGAAGAACAAAAGAAGAAACCAAAGAAACAGAAGATCTGAGCAGCAGCTACTCAGTTTTCAGTCTGTTTCTTTGACCTTGTAGCTACAGTCGAACATGTTCAGTTTTGAACTCGTCACTGAACGAAACCTCGCCTTAAAAACGTGGAACTGATGGAAACAGTTGTTCCTTTAATGTCTCTCTGGAACCATAAGGAACATTAAAGCTGAGGTGGGAAGTTGTGCTCAACATAAATCACTGTTACATCCCCCCCCCTCCCCGACCCCCCTCCTCGTCATTTGTCAAGGAAAAGCACTTATTGTTTAATGTGGCGACGAGAGGACGTCACGGCAGAGCAGTTAAAACAAACAAGAAAATCTGTTTATTATGATTCACTCTGACTTCCTGTTGGAAGATAAACCCTGGAGGTCACGGCTGAGATGTAACATTTTATTTCATTTTGATCTCTTTGTTTGTTTTCTGGTCGATCTTCTTCACCTCTGGCTCCTCTTTCTGGGACTTTTATTTCTTTAGTTTCTGATTTTCTAATATTTCAGCCTTTGTTCTCTGTGTTAATGTTTGACTTCTAGCTGTTTTCAGTCGTTCTTTGTCTCGACCGTTTCTTTGTCTTATCTTTCAGTCATGTTTTATCAGAACAGGTTTAAGACTGAACTAAAATAATGCAGATTTCATGAGGAGCTGATGAAAGAGAAGGTTTTCCACAGAAGAAATGATGTAATACGTCCATTATGACCTCGTTAGTCGGGGGAAAATAAACGGTGGTTAAAGCAGAACCTGCTTGGTTTGATTTTCGATGCAACATTTATTATCTTTTCTGCGCTGGAGCAGATTCTCCTCTTCTTCTCCTTCTTCTTCTTCTGATCTTTTATTCTGTGTGGGAGACAGAAAAAAAAGTCAGTCCTACAGAGTTATCTCACTCATGTGATGTAAGATTCTGATGTCTGTCTTTGGTTTGAGCTGTTGAACAGGAGCTACGATGCAGTGTCGCTGCTGGGACTGAAAATGAACGTCAGATTTTAAAGCACAACAAGAGACGTACAACGCCAACCAACAATAAGATACATCTGTCTGGTTGTCTACCCAGAGCAACAGCAGCTGAGACGTACAACGCCATCCAACAACAAGATACATCTGTCTGTTTGTCTACCCACCTACCTACCCACCTACCCATCTGTCCTACCCACCTACCTACCCACCTACCCCCTTACCTACCTACCCACCTACCCCCTTACCTACCTACCTACCCATCTGTCCTACCCACCTACCCACCCACCTACCTACCCACTTACCTACCCACTTACTTACCCACCTACCTACCTGCCTACCTACCTACCCACCTACCTACCTGCCTACCATCTGTCCTACCCACCTACCTACCTACCCATCTATCTACCCACCTACCCACTTTCCTACCCACCTACCTACCCACTTACCACTTACTTACCTACTTACCCACTTACCTACCCATCTATCTACCCACCTACCTAGCCACCTACCTACCCACTTACCTACCTACCTACTTACCTACCCACTTACCTACCTACCTACCTACCCACTTACCTACCTACCCACCTACCTACCTACCCACTTACCTACCCACTTACCTACCTACCCACCTACCTACCTACCTGCCTACCTACCTACCCACTTACCTACCCACCTACCCATCTGTCCTACCCTGTCCTACGCTGTTATGCCGTCGTATCTGTCAAAATCTATGAATGTTGGAATTAAAATAAATAAAAGTTTTGTTTTGTTTTGTTAGCAATCTGAAGTTATATATATCTTTAATATGAAAAAACAAAAACCAAACCAAACCTCAAATGCTGAAAAGACATTTTTGCTCTAACTCTCCAACAGATTCCGTTCTCTTGACCTTGAGTCTCGTTCCAGGAGGAG